TCCCTCACTTCTTTTGTGATAGTCCATTAGTAGTCCCTACTGAGCAATCTAGCTGCAATCGAGCTAGCATTGAAATGGAAAGAGTAGAGTTAAAGTAGGACGAGGTCTGCCTTTACCCTTCCTTTTACTAGGAGTGGATTAGTTAGAGTCGGTCCGTTCCCATTCCCACCCAACTATAGCTGAACTTGCCCGAAGGAAATGTTGGATCTTCTTGCCGGGAAAGAGTTTGGTTACCAAGTTCAGTTACCATAAGCGGAAGTGCAACCCTTATATCTCCGATATATAGGATATAATGTCAGTTTAAAATCCATTTGGGTAGATAGTATGGCTTGATAATGTCAAGTTAAGGCTATCGCGAAGTAAACACAGAATTTGTCTCAGCCTTGGTCCGAACTATGGAATCAGATTTCCTTTTTCAAGAAGAAAGTAAGTTCTTTCATACTAGCTATTTGTAGCCGCCCTATTCAAATAAAATTAAAGGGCTAGAAGAGGTGAAATTCCTTTCTCTGGGTTGGGATTTCTCATAGCGGTGCTGTAGGCCGGGGCTTTCCCCTTCGGATAAGAAAGCACGAACCATAGATAGAAAAATAAAAATTAGAATGAGGATTTCAATTCCCCTCTACATCCCCTCGGGAAAATGTGGTTATAGTGATTAGGAGGGATTTGATCTCAGGCGCTAAAGCCTTTCTTTGAACCTTAGACTCATCTCTCAATCCACTTCTTCATATGTACGTGTTGAATTTTCTCCGGATTCAAAACCAAATAAAAAGACGTCCCGATCGATAAAGATAAAGATAAAGAAGCGCGGCAAAAGGCTCTACAAATACTCACTAATTAGATAGGATAGGCCCAATCACTATTAAATCCTGGAAGCAAGCATTCCGGCCAGTAAGACAACCAAAACTATGCTTCCCAAAAAGACTGCAACGTTCGGATTACTTGACTCCTGCTCACCAGCACTATGACTACTGCTTGCTTCAATAACTCCCGAACCATCATAGATAGCAAAAGTCATGTCACTCCCGCTCGGCGAATCAATCGCAAGTCCCAACCCAGAGAAATCAAAAGGAAAAAGAGGCAGAGTGAAAGGAAAGGCGGATTGACTAATTGGTTGAATAAGTTCCGGAGGGGAGGTTAACAGAAGGCATGTTCCCATCCATAAGCAAGGAATTAAAAGGCCCATAATATCTACTAACGACTGTGGTTGGGGGGAAGATGTAGGAATCGAAAAAGTCTTAATCTTCCTCAGATGATGGAATTCCGGGCTTAGGTCCCCGCGCAGGGGTGATCTTTCTCAGACCTCTCTCCGGAGACCGTAATAAAGAGTCTTTGCTTACATTATAAACGCGCTTCACTCCTTAAAAAGAGTTAAGAATTAAAATAGGATTCATTACTTCACTGCCACGAACGTTAAAGAATCTTCCCTCGAACTTTCTTTCCTTTTGGTAAATTCTGACTACGAAAGGGCAGTTTTTCAAAGACAGAGAAGGAAAGAACTAAAATAACAAGAAGATAGACTTTTCCATCGTAAAGTGAACCAAGAACGGAAGTAACTTCACTGGCTGAGCTGACAGGCTGATAGGATTGACTTTACTCGCTCAAAGGCAAATCGCCAACCAACAGAGATAGAAGTAAATTCCGCCCTTTAGGGGCCAGTCACTCGATCTAAGAAATATAGGCCCTCAACCAATTCCTCCTAAAGTATTTTCCCTGCGAATAACCTGGCCTGGATGCACTCCTGTTAGTCAAAGGAGGGGCTTGAACCCTACTATTCAAGTCATCTACATAGGCTTGAAGGATGACGCTTCTTTCTCATCGGTTTTTTTTCGGTCGCGTTTAGATAAGTTTTTAAGGCCATGTTTTCACTTTTCTTTCAACTCCGCTTGGCTTGGCGATCGCTCATGGCTAATATAGGTAGGTCCAGAGCTAGCTAGTGTTCAGAAGTCACTTAAGAGATTGAATATGGGTCCTATTAGAATAGGCCGTAGCCGCAAAGAGATAGAGATTCGCATTGCGGGAAGGGAACCATAGCAGCTGATAAAGGCTGCTGGTGGAGCCGGAGAAGAACCGGGCTAAGGGCCAAAAAAAAAAGGCCTTAACTAAGTACTAAAGCTGCTGGAGCGACTGCCTTCGTTGATTTCCCACGAAGGAATCGTAATCTCGCTACTTCCCCTTTCTGTCCTAAGCGGGGGAGAAGTATTAAAAACCTTGTGTGAAGGAAAGGCTGTCAAAGTCGTTGACCATTAATCCGGTTGAAGGACAAATGGACAGTGAATCAACAGAATCGAGTTGTTTGCAGGATAAGGATTCGGCAGTCGAGACATCTATATCTATTTCATTATAAGAAAGAGAGGAAAGGATGCAAGCAAGGAAGCGCTAACCTATACCTATACGACTGCTATTCTTATTGATATTGATCAATGCGGGCTAAGCTAAGGACGTGCATGCTAGGGTGGAGATTCTCTCTTTCAGAAAGCGTATGTCTTCACTCTAAACACCGTACACGTACAGGTCTTAGTTCAGTCGCATCTCAAGAATCGATAGATGGAGGGCTTTTTATTTTAAGTAGGGCGCCCCCTCTTTTGGTTAAGAGGCATCACTACCTTATTTGCAGGTTCGAATGAGCTAGCTTTATCTGCTTTCTGAGGTGTGAAAAGCCCTTCTCAAATCTCTCATCTCCTGGTTTCTAAGACCCCTAGCAAGCATCGCATCGGAACCTGGTTCCGGTGGAGGAGAAGCTGCTCTTAGTTAGAGTAGGCTCCTACCCATCAATTGTTATGGCAGTCCAGTCAAGGTTGAGCAGTATCTTTAACTGGGGCTATCAGAGGTTCCCTTACTTACTAAAGTTCTACAAGGTGTAATGTTCGGAGATCCGGGAATGAAAGACAGATTTCTAAGGATTTTGAGCCTCACCTCTTCCGTAAAGGCAGGTAGCATAGGTGTCCGTGGATTCTTCGGCTAGGCGTCCATCCACTCTATCCGCATTATCCGTTGAAATACCATCCGAGGAGCTTCACGTGGCGGCCCTACAAGCATGGTATTTAAGAGAGGCCCTAAATCTTGTGTATGATTGGTCGACAAGGTCGATGAAAAGGGCCCTTGCTACTTATTGCTGTTGTGAAAATGCATCCAGGATAGTCTCTGATCAGATCTCCATGCGATGCGGCATTCTGACGTTACGACAGGGCAACTTCGGGCAGAACCGTCAAATCCCCACCGGTTTGCAAGACCATTTTGTTTTGACCAATTCATTCCGGCACCCGGTCTTTCCGTCAAGCGCGTCATCTTTAACCTTTCGGAACTGGCGGGGTACTGGGCACATATGATGAGAAAGGGCACCGGGGCTGCTTTCGTGATAATGCCGGATGACAGAGAGGGCAAGATGGTCTTGGAATATGTCCGATGGTGGACGTTTTCTTACTTATCGCAAGGAATCAACAAGCTGTTGACATTCAAAGAGCAGCAACTCTCTGATCAAGAAAGAGTTGGGAGTCGAAGTCCTCCTCCTCCTGAACCCACATACATATGGACCCATTTCCGAGCAGGGGCTGCCACCCAGATCATCGCAACATCGGAAAGGTCACCAGCCCGGGCAGAAGCAAAGAAACCCGGACCATGAAAGGAAAGGGAGGTTCAGCACCCGTCATCCTGACCGTCCATTACCTTTGAAAGCAATCCTTACCTTCACGGACCCTCGTTTTAAGCAGCGCAGCACCAGAAAGAGTCAAAGGTACCACACGAACGGACTAAGCAACAGGGTCCGAAGGAGTAGTAGCGTCTGGTGTGGGAGCAAGGAGTAGTTAATGGAAGGACCATAAATATACAATAAACATTAAGAGCCTGACCACCGAAGCATTTTCATTACTTTCCACAGAAGAGAGCATCAACAAAGTTCAATACACAAAGAAAAACGACTAGTGGTATGTAAGTCTCTTCAAGAGTGAGCTTGCGCTGCCGTTCCACTTAGGTAAAGACCATATCCCTCTATTCGGCTTAGGCGTATCGGGAGTGAACAAGCAGAGCAGAGATTCATATATTATTATTATCCGATTTCTTTTTCTGGTCTTGCTTGTGCCTGTTGCTGCTCCTGGTCTTCCCATTGACTTCCGCCGAATACGAAAGGTAAAAAGCAAGTCAATCTATTAGCCATCTCCCTTCGGCTCCTCTTTAGATCGTGGACTCGGGCTTCTTAAGTTAAGGGAAGCACTTCGTTCCACTCGTTCTAGACATACTCTAAACTCCTAACAAGCAAGAGAAAGAAGGAAAACAAGGAGTAAACAAGAGCTACAACAACTAGAGTGTCAAAGGAAGGGGTGCTAGGCCAGGAGGAGGCAAGGGAAGTTAAATTTTTGAAGCGAAGCGACCTAGTCGAGTGTCAAGTTAAGCAGTTCCTCTTGTCGAGCTAGACTCTACTCGCGCTATAGTCGAGGAAAGCTCGCGCCTTATTCGTGTTAAGCTGTCGAGTTAACTAGACTCGAGGAACTAATCCTTTAGGCAACTCCTCCTCTCTGAGAAGAGGACACTTACTTAGTTCAGTGCAACAACAAAAGAAAGGACCCTTACCCCTCTATATCCCTTTTTGGGGGAAGATCAAACTCTTTAACTCAATCTACTACTACTGTTCTCACTCATTGACATAAGTAAAAGCTACCAGTTCCTTACTCAAAGAACTCGTACCGGTACTCTTGAGTTCACAACCCTAACTTAGATTGGAGTAGAAACTCGATCCTACTAATTACGTAGAACCATGAACCATCGATCGAGTGAGTTCGAGGTGGTTCATGCTTTCTATATAACTCGCTGTACGCTAAGGCAAAGGTTGTAACCATGCGTCATGCGTGCCGTAAGCGGGCTCTGGTGGGGGAACCCGTAGGAAGGGGGGACGACCCGCCGAATTCACATCAGAAATCGCCAGAACACAAACGAAATCTTGAATTGCGTATAGAAATAAAAGAACCACTTCTATTCTCGGAGCTGAGGTATATGAAGAATGGCTTTTTGGTCCCTTTCGTCCAGTGGTTAGGACATCGTCTTTTCATGTCGAAGACACGGGTTCGATTCCCGTAAGGGATGGCTACTCTTTCCCGGCCGCTTTCAGTTAGTGTTCATTGCTGAGTGATCGCTCGCTATCTGGCTTGAAAAGGTGGTCCGGAAGCTTTCTCTCTCCCAGCAAGCAAGACGAGATCACCACTTCTCTCAGTAATGGACTTCCTTTAATTCTTCCTTAGCCTTAGATGTCCTATCATAGATTATCGAACCTCCGACAGACAGAATCCCCATGCATGCGTTCTTTCTCTCCTCCCCTCAGCCATACATCTCTTTTTTTTTTCTTTTGGCCGTTTTTCTTAGGCATTGAACCCCACCTTAGGTGCTGAGTGGTGTCCTCCCCTCCCTAATACCTAAAAAAAAGTTCCGTCTATGGAGCTTAAAGCTTAAACCATGGCATGCTTGACTCAGAATTGGCAGCAGTAAGTTGGCCTAGTCTCTTGCCCAGCCTTCGCCTTCTTCAGTGGCCAAGTTGAAGCGTTCAACGGTTCTTCGGCCTACCACCTTTCTTTTTCAAGGTTGAGCTTGTTCAATGGAAGCTAATGCTATGCTGCCCTTCCCTTGTTCACAACAGAGAAGGCGAGGACTTTCTTTTAGCTACCGGCCCAAACAAAAGAGATTAGCCTCTTGATCGATCGATTGATTGGATTGCAGTACGAAGGGGTTTAAGAAGGAGGCATTGGAGAGAAGTAGGCATGGTGGCCAACCAAGGCAGTGAAATCGAGACAATCAGTCAAGTTAGGAAGAGGGTTTAGTTAGGAGTCCGGGTTCCATCCTATAAGTTGAAGGAAGGGAGCAAAGGAAGTTCTCTTTGCCCTTAGTCTTGGGTTCAGTGAATAGGGAACTTAGGTTTGTCTTATTCCCTAGCTGAGTGAATAGGCCGATCTTTCGTATAGTGATAACGCTTTCTCTTTCTTATAGGGGTCTCTTTTCTCTGACTTGACTCAGCTTGACCTACTTGACTCAGCGGTTAGAGTATCGCTTTCATACGGCGAGAGTCATTGGTTCAAATCCAATAGTAGGTAAGGCCGAAAGCCCTGCTTTTGCCAGCATGACAGCAAGCACGGATTCCGACTGGCGGAGTTGAATGACCAAAGCATCGTCCGCATGCGAATCCGCCATTCATTCACTCTTGCTACTGTTCTCGAATAGGCTCTTTCGAGTTCAGGTTTGAATGAAGGAATAAAATCTTTTGCCATTTATCTATCTAGCTGGCTCGCTAACTGCTAGTCTTTCATTGGAAGAACTGCTAGGTTTTATCTTCTCCTATGGGGAGAACTAAGAGGCCTAGTCTTCTTACTCGTATTCTATATTAGGGCACTCTTTCTTGGCTTGGGGAAAGATCGTAGGCAAGGGAAACCTCGCCAACCCATTCTCTCGCTCCTTTAGATAGCTTTACCCTAGCACTTGAACTGGATTGGATAGGACTTCAACTAAATAGGGAAAAAAAATCTTTCATTTTCTTTCTAGAAGCTCTTTTTTTCTACCCTTATAACTAGTGTCACTTGCTTGATCACTTCGGTCGGTGATGGGGTTATGCCAGAGGGACAGCAATCAATTCACCGGGTAAGAAAAGTACCGTTACACCTACCCTTTTAGTATGACTAGACCCAATTGTATCACTATACCCAGAACTAGTTGTCTACCTAGGGATATGCCATTTACGGGGAATAAGAAAGGAGCTAGTAAGAGATTGTGACTTCTTACGCCAATCCTAGTACTACTTATTAATTACTGCTATAAATATTCTAACGGGTAGAATGATTAGCTCTTAGACCTGTTCAAACTCTTAGACAGGGTAGGACTACTTTTTAAATGATAGGCCTTTAACTTCTTTGCTTGGTAGCTCAGTCTTATAGAATATGCTATAGATTCTCAATACATCTTTCCTTTGCACTGAAAGCTGGCTAGCCTAAAATATCTACTTGAACTACTGAAATGGGATCTAGCCTTTGGGCTTAGTTCAGAGTTCTTCTAGGCTTCTTTCTTAATCAGGAAAAGCCCTTTACGCTTTGAGCCGGGTATGAATCAAATAAAAAAAAGTGAATCCGGATCCTTCGCCACCTTCTCTCCTTGGTTCTGAGATTGTAAGGATGTCTGCCCTCCTTTCTCTTCAAATTAAACCGGCATACTGAAATCGATTGCACTAAGGGGCTTCGATTTTGCTGAAAGAAGGACTTCGTTGAAAAATAGAAAGATCTTGGTTACATCTCGCGTACTTGCCCATATTACTTATATATGGGGTGACCCACTTCTACTTACGCTGATTCCAAAGCTGCTCCCATTCCTCAAATATAGGCAGCAGAGTCAACCCCTCCTTCGGTCGGTTCATGAGCTGCCAAAAGCTAACTCTACGCTCGGTAGCTACCGGAGTTGCTTCGCTCCCCAACTCGTTTAAGTCAACTGATGCCATGGGTCATTCCCTTGTTTACGAAACTGGGCTATGAAAAGCATCGAGAAAGAGGAGTGGAAAAACTACCTTCCCAGTCTATCGGGACTCTACCTATACTCCCTTAATCCCGTTCCTTCTAGGCGAGTAAGGGCATAAACTTCTATAAAAAAAAAAGAAAGAAAAACTCACGAAGAAAGCACCGGTAAGGTTGTACCTAAGCCTAAGGGCTGGCCTTTACTGGATCTAATTCCCTCTGCGAGCTACCGGATCTAATGCACCATTCTTCGGCCTATTACGAACAGTTTCGATGTACCAGATCGTCTTGTCTTTCATCAATCTTCGGCAGGAGTTTGATGCGGGGATTCCCAGCTTTAGTGGGCATCGCCCTATACTTAGCGAAAGAACTTGATTTAGCCCTTCCTTGATCAATCACTTTCAAGCTGTTACTTCTTGCTCTTCCACGATATAGACTCCAATGACAATGAAATCTTTATTTCCAGTGATGGATTCCCTGTCCAGCGCATCTCCTGCCCAATCTGCATCGGAGTCTCCTGTCATCTGAAGGGAACTGGAAGATGGGAAAAGAAGACCTTTTCCAGGTGAACCCTTAAGATATCTGAGGATTCTGTATGCAACATCTAGATGTATCGTTCTTGGTTTCTGCATGAATTGACTCACGACTCCAACAACATAGGCAATGTCGGCTCGATCATCTTTATATTGGCAGGAGGAGGTAAAGCATGAGTGGGTAGGGGATTGGTAGTGACATTGGAACGCTTTGCCCTTGGTGGCTCAATTTTCCCTGAATTAAGAAGGTCTTGGATGTCATGTTTCAGCCTTAAACATCGGTCAGTCTTTTGGCCATTTGTCTAAAGGTACTTGCAGTAGGCATGGGCTTTGTACCTAGGAGGAAGAGGATCTGGTGTTGAGCGAGATGGGGGAAGAGGCGTGAGTACACCATGCTTTTGAAGCCTTTCCAAGGTGCGGCTGAGAGTTATGCCTAACGGAGTGAAAGTTCTGGGTGTCTTTGGCTTTCCGTCAGACAAGACATTGACTTCACTGTTCTTGCTTCTTCCTCCCAGGGCTATCTTCTTTCCTTTTGGATCCGCCCTTTTGACCTGTGATCCATGAGTCCCATTGTAGATTTCAATACGGGTGGTTCAATCAATCATAAGTGGTCATCGCTTGGAAATCGAAATAGTCATGGTATTGCCTACTCATCTTACTGATCATTATACGAACTTCTGCCCTTTCTGGGGGGAGACGATCAGCTCATATCTATTTATATTTTAGAAGAATTGATTCTTTCCCGAGGGGAACTGAACTCGCTCCTTACCCCGGCTCCACTCCAGACCAATCCCCTAACCCTACCCTTTTTCTGAGAATCATTCCTTCCCCACCTTCTGCCTCCTGCTTTACTTTCTGACTGCGCCGCTTTAATAGAATGCCAATGCTTTTCCCCTATTAGAGAAAGCCGGAGAAAGCCCTCTTTTAGAGATGCTGGTATTCGTAAGTCAGCCGGCTACTAGTCAAGGTCTTCGTTTTTCAAGAGATTTGTCATTCAATTGATTACTGCTAATATCATAAGAAAGATAAGAACTAATTCTGCATTGAATCCTTCGTGCGGGCTCTGGTTCCCCGTAGCCACCGTGGACCCTCTCTCGGTTAGGGCCTTCCACCTTCTAGTTGACTCCAAGACTTTGATTTAAGGCCTGGAATTGTGGACACAGGGCTAGGGCGAGAAGGTTGGCACAAAGAAAAGAGCAGGACCGGTACAATTAATTAAATGACTTGGTCTATACCTTACAGGAAATAGCTTAAAGTGCACTAGCGGTGCTGCTTCTGTCTTTTCTCAGTTAGGCGAAGCAGGGGCAGAGAGTTGGATTGCACCGAAACGAAAGCAATGCGCTCCCAAGGGCATTGCTTGGGCTCTTCCTTGGGAAAGAAAGCTCCCACATCCTCTGCTGTCTCGCATCCATCGGGATGAGTCTTGCGTCTGTCTTCTCTTCGTAAACTACCTGTCCTCTCAAAAGCAAGTAAGCCAACTACCTTCTTTAAGGAGTGAATCACATAAGCTAGAAAGAATCTTCCTAATGCTCCCATGTCCGAATCCGTACTTTTCTCTCTCTAGCTGCTGCAGTAGCAGGCACGTATCGAAGGAGAAGAGGAGGAAGAAAGACAAGCAAGACAGGTGCGGAGCGGGGCCAAGAAAGTAAGTAAAGGAGGTAAAGGCATTCTTTAAGAAATTACCAGGTCCTTATATAGTGTCAAACCCTGCCCTAAGGCAACAAAAGGAAGTGACATTTCCTTGCCTTAGGGCACTAGTAATTATTTCGTTTACTTGTTTTCGGTGAGATAATCTTTCCTTTATCCGTCTAGGCCAGGTGCATGACTTTCCCCAAGGCATATTAATGATTGCCCGCTGTAACCCTCTCGGCATAGGCCGGGCCGCTTGAGAGCTTCGGTACATCTCTTTCATTCCGATTCCGATTCCCGGCCGGTGAGACTCTTCTGGAACTGTTGGATTAGTAGCTTTTATCTCCGTAAGAACACATTTCCCCACAGTAGACGCGCGGAGATGAGTAAGACTTCAAGTTCCGTTATTACCGGGTGCAAGGCTGATAAAGAAATGAATTGAAACCCGAATCAAGATCAATGCGTGAAAGAGCAAAGGATTCTACATCACAGGGTCAGGCCTATGCCGAGAGATGAGACTCTCCGTTCTTTAATCAGATAAGGATGCTTTCCATGAATTGCTCCAGCTCTGGTGCACACCAGTTCTCTCTATAAAGATAATGTTCACTGGAAAGCAAAGACCAGCTAAGAAAAGAGTGAGCTAATCAAGGTCGGGGCGGGTCTCCTCGGCGGGAATACCAGTCCGAAAATAAAGTAATAGGCAAAAATAAGGCTATTTTAAATAATAAGACTAGCTTTCCGTACTGACAAAGACTCTTTTACCACTACTATGTATTAATATATAACCAAAAAAGAAGGAAGAGAACGAAAGGAGAAGAGAAGTCCACTTCCGGGACGGAGCCCTACATAAATTTAAGCATCAGGAACAAGCAAAGATGCCACCGGTTAAGAGTTGGAGATTGTGCTTCATATTCTTTATGTATTATCCATTCATTCGGACTTCGAACAAGCCTTAGGTTGAATCCCGACATGGGCGAGTAGGGATTCCAGGACAGTTTCAAGCAGCTTCTTCGGGCTAGGGCATTCGATTACTCATTCGCTTTGTTACGAAATAAGTAGCAAGGTGCGAGATGCGCAGCCTTTGATCCAATTCAGCTTCAAGGGCCTTACCATCCCGGTTAAGGAATGACAGGTCTACATTATTTCTGGTCTACCCGCTGCTGAAGTGACGGAATTGTGCATTGTCCGTATGTCATCCCGCTTCCAAAGCCCGATCTTTCTCTTCCGAATCCGAATCCGAATCTGGGTTCGTCTAGCTTTGCATTGCTTGCCTGGCTTAGACTGGGTTAATTTCCCCCCTTTGGGGGCCCCATACCTTACTAGAGCCCCCCAACAAGACCACAACTCAATTAAGTCCGCCTTCTGTCCTCCACTACCAAAAGACGTGGAGACCAGTTTATCTCGTCAGCTCCTTACCTAAGGTTACCTTCACCTCACTTCCTTGAACTCGCTTAAGGAAATCCCGAGCTCCAATCAGCTCAGCTCCAACACTCTAAAATAGTAGCTACACAACAACAAGACAATTGGGCCTACAGACCCCCACGACTATTAATAAAGCACTGCTCTTTCCTAACATCTACCTAACCAATTCCGATTGAGCGCGTTAAAATGCAAGATGGAGGCCTTTCTGAATGAAAGGAAGATCATCCCTGGGGATGGGAAAGAGATCGGCAATTAGCTCAGGCGGTTAGTTAGTTGTAATTGAGTAGGCAGTTCTTCTCTTTGCCTTTCAGCCGGCTAGTCCGCTTATCCCTCTGTGAGCGGGGATGGTGATACAGGAAGTGTTGTGGCTTTGGTGGAAGGCTGGGAAGATCCTTGTTTGGTAGACTCTCTTTTAGTTTGGGACGATCTTTCCGGTTTAGGAATGAACTATGGAATTCAGTCACTCGGCTAAGAAAATAACTAACTTAAGGCATTGAAAGACGTGAACCAAATCATTTAAGCGTCCACGTATTGGCTTCGATTCTGGCAGAAGCGGGATGGCACTCTATTACGTATATAGACAGAAGAGGGCCTAGCTGGCTTGACCCAGAGAAGAATGTTGAGTTGAGGAAAAGAAGCCTTCCCAATTAAAATATTTTCCTGTCGATGTAGTCTTTTCTTCTCTGTCCTGCTCCGAAGATAAGCTAGAAAAGGGCGAAGCGGAAATTGAATAAGAATAAAGCTGGTAGCGTAGATTCAGGCTACCCTACCTAGTAGCTAGGATTCCGTCCCTCCCAGTTCACAGATGTAGTTGCTTCTACTGATTATCATCGAGATTGGGTTGGTGTGAAGTCTACCGCTAACAAATAAATTTAATTTGTGTAGCCTATGCGAAGCGAAGAAGCAAGGGATTGAGCTGAAAAAAAGAAAGCCTCCATTACTAATAAAGGGCTAACGCGCAAGGGGGGGCTTTTCTTTTGGGTACAAGATCGAAAAGAATGCCCGTATGTCGAGAGACAGGCTTTTTCGAGAAAAGGTCCCATCCTTCAATCTCATGATTGGGTCGACCAGGCCAGATCATGAGTGAATAGAAAATCGAAAACGTACATAGCTGTTCCAGCTGAAATACTTGGAATAATTCTACCACTTCTACTAGGAGTAGCCTTTTTAGTGCTAGCTGAACGTAAAGTAATGGCTTTTGTGCAACGTCGAAAGGGTCCTGATGTAGTGGGATCGTTCGGATTGTTACAACCTCTAGCAGATGGTTTGAAATTGATTCTAAAAGAACCTATTTCACCAAGTAGTGCTAATTTCTCCCTTTTTAGAATGGCTCCAGTGGCTACATTTATGTTAAGTCTGGTCGCTCGGGCCGTTGTACCTTTTGATTATGGTATGGTATTGTCAGATTCGAACATAGGGCTACTTTATTTGTTTGCCATATCTTCGTTAGGTGTTTATGGAATTATTACAGCAGGTTGGTCTAGTAATTAGGGGGCGGCCGTTCGGTCGCCTATGATACTAGGACCAATAGGTCAAAAATGGGTTTGTGCCGCAGGTGTTGAACGATCTACTCTACACAGGTGTGGGCTTACAGGGCTAGGGCTCATAAACCCTTTCTTTCATTCAAAAAGAGGGCCCTGGTCGGTCACTTTTCCGGGCCGGGATCGATAGATAAGTGGAAGTCATAAAAAAGAGATCTTTCTCTTCGCACCTAAGATCAAGAGGAAGGGTAGCTTGTCAAGCTGGCCTATATAAAATATATATATATTTATACATATTTATAAAGATTCACTGTCTTTTAACCGGCTGTTCTTCTTTGTCAACGCTACTAAGGACCTATGGCTTAGCCTACCCTACTAATGTATTGTATAGTTTTTTAGAGTATAGTAGGCGAGCGAGTTATCGAAGACGCTTAGGCTAATAGAGAAGAGAGCGTCAGTGCGTAGCCTTCATTCTACTACGCTACGCAAAGGTTACGAAGTAACTTAGCTCGACGTTAGGAGAGTCAAGGGGGAAGGCCATACCTACATAGAAGAACCGCTGTTCGCTGACTTTCTAAGGTCTAACCTTTCGCTCCCCTACTGAAAAGGGGCACAAAGCCGCTTTGCACCACTGATAGACTACTTCAGATTCAATTCAAAGGGCCCTACTTAGTTAGTTTCGCAAGCCTTTGTCATTGTCAGTCAACTAAGTAGGTCGTTCCGCCCCCTGCGAATCCGTAAATCTGAGGAGCATGCCGCAACACAACAAAAGGATGGTCCCCTATGCATTTCATTCTTTCCGGAAGGGAAAAAAAAGAAAAGTACCCCCATCATGGTGAACCTCTCCTTGTGATCGGGATGAGGTAGATGCCTCCCAGCTGGGGGGCGGATCGAATCGGAGTTTCCTTAGGTAGCCACCGACCTACAGTTATCCTTAAACTTCCGTGCTTGGTGGAGAAGAAGCGAACAAAGGTACGCTCGCTTGCTGTCTTGTTCTCTGCCGCGAACTGGGATCGCTCGCCAGCTAGGTCAGATTGGAGCAAGAATTTATGAGAACATATTACCCATCTTCGGGGACAAGGGGCGGAACGACCTCTCGATCTGCTTACTGCAGCCCAGGAATAAAAACGTCGTCTAGGCTTTCCTTCTTGCTCCGATCTCCCCGACGCCTAGGACGTTGTCTGGGCCAAGAGCCATAGTGAATTGCTGTTTAAATTGTTTTTTTCTTGTTGTTGATACCGGCAAGACCCAGCCAGATGATGTCTGCTGGTTGGTAGTGAGAGGACTCGTAGTACCTGCATACCCAAAAGAAAAGGAGGCGCTGATTAAAAAACAATAATTTTTGATTTTTCTTACTTTCCCTTAGCAGCGGGAAAGGAGTCTATCTATCTGCCTAGCTTTGGTAGATTTTCCCCAACGCAATCCATAGAAATTCCACGAATCCCTTGGTGGATAAGTCCGACGACTCAGCAGCTGTGCGGAATTGAGTTTATCGTCTGGTGGATCTGATCTTTAGGGGTCAATACATACCAAAAGGTGCTTTAGTGATCTTTGATGGTCTGAACAAGGAACTCTGTGTGGGGATCCATCTTGTTTTGTTGTTATTCGCATTGTTCACCTTGGTCGGAAATCAGGGTGGTTGTTCTGCGCTTTATATTTTAAGCAAGCAGCTTCATCCTTGATGATGGCCTATGGTGGTGATGAATTCGTTCATCCTGACAATGCGGTACCAGTTTCTCTCACTCGGTCCGGTTACCCTCGGATCATTCCGTCTCATCATAGGCGTATGATTCTGAAGAAGGATGAGAAAGCGGACATGCTGGTGAAGTTTTATTAAAAAAGATTCTCTCTGTCAAAGATCATTACTTTGGCAAAGAAGGTTGATAAATCAACGTTTTCTTCAAAGATCCCCACCCGATAAGATTGACGAGGTGGTGGGGCTGGTTGGTTCGATTAAGGAGAACTTTAATCGACTTATCAGTCGCTATGCTCCCTGGATAAAACGTATACCCCTTGAACAAGGCTTACGGTTTGAACCTGAAGAAGAGTTTTATTTTCTATTTGAATAAAGAGAGTATCGCAATTGTTGAATCAATTTAGACTGCGTGCGCTCCTGCTTTCAGAAAATAAGAAAGGGCTTTCCTTCCCTACTATAGAAGATTAAGTCTAGAATGCCACGCGAACTAGAGAATAGTCAGCCCCTAGAATAGTTATAGCTATCTCTTTCGATGGAACCATTCCACTCGCTCCTTTTCTATCCTCCTATAATTATTTATCTTCGAGTCCGGTTATCCGTCTTCAATTTTGAAATGGAAGTCCTTTGCTTTAGTTCCTGTAGTCAAGCTAAGGCTCTGACTCAATCCCTTGTACCGCCATGGAGGGTGTTCTTCTTCTATCTGAATAGAATGTGATTGCCTGATGAAAGCGATTCCAGGAGATCCTAGCATAGAGCTTTCTTTCTTGTGATGAAATGGATTCCAAAGAACTTGAGGGTAGGGCTCTCAAGTAGAAGGGAAAAGAAGGTTGACTTCCTCTCTTTCTTTGCATCACAATGAGTAGGCCGGGACAAAGCCTGATTTCAAAGGAAAGGGCCGGTCAGTCAAAGGAGGGGATCAGCTCTTTTCACAAGCCGGAATGAAGATGAAGCTTACAACGAGACGAGAAAGAAAAAGTCCATCTTCTAGACTCTTCAATTCACTTCTTTAGTAAGGAATTGTTTTCACCTCGCATGAAAGAGCATTCCACAGCCCAGTCGAAAGCTGCAATAGATTCGACCACATACTGGAAGGGGATTGGTAGAACTGATAGGCCTTTAGGACAGGACCGACTCTTAGCTCGTTGGAGTGCTATTTCAGATCTTGGCTTCCTAACTACTTTGAAAGGAAAGACCCTAACCTAAACCTAAGGGCAAAGCCTCTTTCAAGAAGAAATTTAATAGTGATGGAGCTACTCACAAGAGAGACCCATGCATACTAGGAAGAATAACCTGTTAACGAAAGAGAAAGAAGAGAAGAAAGCAAGTACACGATAGCTATAGATAGCTCTTCCATCACCCTATCTAGCACCCTATCAGAAAGTCCTTTGCTCAAGCCAAAAGGGATCAAGGAAGTACGAGCTAGTAAGATGGTTAGACCCCCCGGGAAGAACCCAGAGAAAGTACCTCTACAACAATAGAGATTGTCCATACAAGGACTTGAGCAGTTAAGCCCTTCCTAAGTAAAGCATAAATCAAGGACAATCAACAAAGAAAGAAGAACTCAGTAGCAACTCTTCACTTCGGAGCAAACTACCCGGGATAACGACCAAAAAGAAGGGCTGCCCAAGCACCACCTTGTGATCATAAAGATTCATATCCAATAAAATCAAAGGAAAGAGTACCTTAAAAAAAGAACCTTTAAGTATCCGGGTAGTACGCCTGAGTCGTACAATTTCGGCGATTAAAAAAGGAGTATATCCCTATCCCTTAGTGTCTTTCCACTTCCCTCGTTCAGGAACAAACCCTTCGCCTAATTCTTTTGAATCCGAATCCCGGCCCGGTTTTTCCCCACTAACCAATTACGTTACGACCACTGAACAAACTTGGTTGACGAACATGGTTTATGCGCCGCTAATGTAGCGGCTTGTCGAGCATTTGACAAACTCACACCATCCATTTCAAATAGGACTTGTCCCGTGGACACACGAGCAATCCAACCCGTAGGATTTCCTTTTCCTCTTCCCATTCTTACTTCTGTAGGTTTCCCGGTAATAGGGATATCTGCGAAAACTCTTACCCATATCTTACCATTTTTTCGGAATTGTCCGCTCATAGCACGATGGAAGTGTCCGATTATAGCCCGACGCGCTGCTTCAATGGCTCGATATGAAAGACGACCAGCTCTACAACTTTGAGTGCCATATCTTCCAAAACCAAGTTTTGTTCCGTCTGGTTTGCAACCCCTACTACATCTGCCTTTACGATATTTACTATATTTCGTACGTTTCGGATATAGCACGTCCCTTTTTTTTTTTACTATATGAAATCCACACTTTGACACCTGAGATTCCGTAACGAGTAGATACTTCCGCAGAAGCATAATCGATTTTCTGGTTAAATACATTACGAGATGTTTTTCCATACTTTCCGCATTCAGTTCTTGCTATTTCTGCGCCTTCTGATCGACCTGAACAACATATACGGATCCCCTCAACCCCTTTTTTCATTACTAATGGAATATCCTTCACTATTCTACTTAAAATGGAACGAAATGATCTTGTTTTCTTTCTAAGTTGAAAAGAGATGTCTTGAGCAATCGGAGAAGCACTTTGATAAACAGATTTGATCTTGACCGACTCAATTAAGGTATTAGTCTTTGTTCTATTAGACAACAAAGATCGCATTTTTTTCACTTCGTTCAAATAAGAGTTGTACCCGTACGGAATTCTTCTGTTTCTCAGTATGATCTCTATCATCATCTCTATTCCCTTTATCCATTCTCCTATCCTACCTAGGTCTATGAATTTATCTATAAATTCCATTACCTTATCCTTACCCATGAGGTTCCAACATTTTATCCTTAATTGACCTAGGAGTGGTTCCCGGGCATCCTCAAAAAAAAGGTGATTATACATCCCAACTCTATCCCTTGGAAAGAAAAAGGTAGCACCGAAGAAAGGAAAGAGCGAGATGGTGGTTTTTGTTGTTCCCGCGAAGCGAAGATCATTCGCCAAGCGAATGAAGTGGGTCAACCTCTTCCGATTCCGATTCCGATTTTTGGCTTCGGCCAAAGACTTTTTCTCGCTGGTCGAGCTTTCTACAAAAAAAGCGATGCGAGAACGTATTCTCTTATCTAAGCTTCTTCCCTGCGCATTCGCTCCCCCCATCGTAGATGGTTCAGCCACGCCCGGTGCCACGAAATGATTGAGAACTACGACGGGGTCGAAATGAATTTTGTTCTTTCTATTCAATAAGTATTGCATGACCGAATAATTAAAGGAGGGGCGCACTGCAGGGAGGGTCCTTTTAAATAGATGACTGCGGGACTTCTTGGGGAAAAATAACTTTAAAAACTTACTTTTTCTGAAGGAGTCGTCATTTTCTATCAGGAACGCTATGTCATTTACAACCCCGGCGTCTTTCGGATGCTTGAAGGCCCCGCTGACCCGAAGTGATTTCGAAAGATTCTTCTTTATCGATGGTGATCGGTCATGGTATCCATAGCGTTGCTTCTTTTTCGGCCAAATCAAAATTTCGTTTTGCTTCTCATCTTTTTGCTTAATGGCGTCGAGCCTGATCGACTCGACTCTTTTCCCTGCCCCCCGGCCTCTCACTTCGTTTCGTTCTTCTTCTGTATTGTCGCTGGAATGAAGACACCCGATCGGCCCGACTTTCCCAAATGCCCACCACCGGCCCTTCTCCTTTCCGGGTCTGGATTTTTCGCGTCGTTTCAGTCGTCGTGGTCGACGGGGAAGAAAGAAATGAATGAATGTTCTTTTGGGAAAATGTATAAGAATACACCTACCGAGACGAAAGCCAAAGGTGAGTCTCGCAGGTGGACGTATCGAACCGAAATAAGATCTCAGATTGACATCTTGATACACTAATTTACCATAATAATAAATAGAGTCAATGGTGACTCCCCAATTGGTGACATAGGGGGAATAGCCGCTTCTTTCTTGCTTTATAGAGGGGCTTCCATTCACCAACGCAGACTAAAAGTGCTCTCCGAACCGTGCTGGATAGTCACCCATCACACGGCTCTCAAACCCAACCTGTGTCCCTGGAGACAAAGTAAAAGCGCTTGATCCTTTGCCCCATACTTTGAGATGCTTATCCCCGCCGAACCCTTCAAGCAGCGACGCTGCTCGTGATAGGCTTAGCTTTAAGCCGCTATCGTTCGGTTCGAATAAAATAAGTCAAGTCCCCTCGGTCGGTTCGCTCAGGTGGTCTTCCCTTATCTTCTCTAACGTTCAGAGTTGTTCTGGTTTAAAAAAGGAGCACCGGCCGAGCGCCCTGAATGAATAAGAAATGGATAGCAAAGGGAATCAATGATTCTTATTCAACCGAGTTGAAGTTAGCAACATGTCGATTACACACCGGAGGTTGGTAAGAACTGAGGGACAATGCCCCCCTAACCTAGGAATAAGTGGGCCTACCAGCGAAACTACTGGTACTGGATCGGGGGTGGGGGGGGTTGGTTTCGTGCAAGGCCTTCGCAGCAGGAAGAGGCAGTTGTCATTTGAAAGGAAAGGCCCTTCTGGTTGTATAGGGTTCCAAACCAGACTGAAGCACCCTGATTCAAAATTTCTATGTTATTAGTCAAGCGCCTAAACTTATTGAAAACTAAAGCGCTAACGCTATAAGAATTTTATAAAAATAGCAACCTTTCGCCTTATAAAAGAAATAAAAGAAAACAAGTTTACTTACTAAAAAAATAAAGCGGCAACAAGCACCTTCTTTCTCAAAGTCAAGTTTCTCGCTTCTTGCTTTAGAAAGATTGCAGCGTTAGCGCTTCTTGACTAATAACATCATAGAAAGTCAAGGCTCCTCTCCTTTTCTACGAATCTACAACTCTCTTTACTGAGCGAGACTCCATCCATATCCCTACTAGTGGTTATCTTTCAAATTTTCCATTTTATCATTTGTTTGACAGCCTAAACTAGGCTCCATTTTAGATAGGTTTTCGGTCTTAATAAAAAAAATAGGTCAGGGGCGCGTCGGAACGGTCGGTGGCTGCTTAGTCTCATCCGAGAGTCTAATCTCTTTGTACTGCTTTTTGATTTTTCAAATCAAAAAGAAGGGGGTCGATTTAGGCTCCTTCCCTTCCACTGCATAGCTGCGCTAGCAGGTACTATGAGCCCTCTGTCCCACGCATCTAACCAGCTCGCGTGGTTCACCGGTTCCACCGAAAACTCTCATTTGTTGAAGCGGAGCATAGTGCGCTTTAGGCGCCGAGCGAGAAACGTCTCTTTCTTCTTTCGTTTCGGTTTATTCACTGATCTGAAACTTAGCACTTGTTTTCTTATTGATTCCAGGGGCGGCGGCGTTCTTGAATGAAGTCTATCCGAACCTAATTAGCACTTCTCAGATCAGGCTAGGCCTCTCCAGCGGAGGCTGGGCGCCGGGGCCCTGGATGCGCTAGCGATCGGCACATAGGGGGTGGTTGCCCGGGTTTCTCGGCCTGGTATCCTGCACCTCGCGTTCATGATATCTACATTCAACTGTGCCCCGGAGACACGGTCGAAGCACGCCCGCCCAGTGTGCTTCTTTCACGACATGCTCTGGTCCCGGGTGTCTTCCAGTGGTCTTCTAGCCTTAGAAGAAGTCGTGTCCGTCCCGGACATCTGCAACGTCCTCCCACGCTTTTTTATTCAACAGATATATAGGACAAACTTAAGGAAAAGACTGACCCATTCGGTGACTTTCGCGGTCGCCCTCACTAAACCGACTTGAATCTGAACTACGATTCAGATCGAGTCTTACCGAAATCGGATTTCCTTTTCGTGCCATATGCGCTTAGACTTTATTGACTTTTTCCCCTTTTTTCTTCCCGGTTTAATATTTGTTCTCGAAAGTCTTCGTTTCCGTGTAGAAGCAAACTCTCAAAATTGTTGACCAACCTTTCCTTCAATGATAGAGGCAAGAAAACTTTCAGGCTTACTATAACCAACCTCACAGATCCCACTCCATCTTTTACACCGATGTATCGTACTCTCTCGACCAGGTCATCATAAGAAAAGACTGCTAAATCTTTCCGAAGTGAGATAAGGAGGGAAGGCGCGCTACAACTAACATAACAGCCAGCTGAAAAACGCTAGCTAGCTAGGCTAGCTAGCAATGGCTTTCTCTTATAGGGGCTCGCTTCTTCAAGCTCCGCCCAACCTATACAAGGTGCTGCTCGCTTTCTCTCAGCCACCAGTGGCTTATGTAGTGGTCGGCATTCCTACGTGCTCCTCTTTGCCCCCTACTTAAGAATCCAAAGGTCACCTTTGGCTGTTGTCTTGACGCTTTGGTTACGAAAGTAGCCGGGGTCTAGGTTTATGGATGGATTTAGTCAGCGAAAGTCCCTCAAACTCAATCAATATCAACAACATGTCGTGACCGGTTAGGCTTGGTTTATTTTGTCAGAAAATAAAGTAGGTTTCGGGGGTGGGTTCATTGATTAGTACACCTCCGGTGCTGATAAGGTCGGGACCGTGGTCGTCCGTCTCCGGTTTGCCGGCCGATAAGATTTCTGAGATTGACCAGCCAGCTGGGTTGGTTTGGCTATTCCTTTCTATTGAAAAGAAGGAGTCAGCTGTCTGCGCGAGTCACCTTCTTCTAGGCTCCGCTGGACGACACGGCATTCTCGTTTAAAGATAGGCCGGCCGCACTTGTGATGGTTCCCAAAGATCCAATATGACCACTTAGGTCTACGTTGCCACGATATTGTTCTATGGAAGCGGGCGGGCTGTTAGAAGTTCGGCCCGGTTTTTTTTGGTGTCGTAGGGGAGGGATTGACCTTTTTAACGCATATTCAGTCGTACCGGCATGGCCCCACTGATTTCTTTTCGATCGGAGCATCAAGCAGCGCAACCCGGTTCTACTTGACTAAGCCCCGTGCTCGTCCAGGGAGGGAGTTTGCTTTACCCAACTCCCTTTTTGATAACAAGGCAGAAAGCCCCGACCCGACATTCATTAGTTTAGTTTCGAATGAAGAATGAAGAGTGCCCTGCCCCAGCAAGCACCTACTCCTATCAAAATGAAAAGCGTGACTTTACTAAACAAGCAAGAACAGCTCTTTACTAATAACATAGAAAGGGCTGTTCTCGCTTCTTGCTTTCTTCGCATGCTTGAGCGCATTAATATAATACATATAGCTTTACTTTAGTTTTCAATAAGGTAGGTTTCTGACTTAGTGCTTGTGCTAAGGAGCGCTTTAGAGCAAGAAAACGGATGCAGCCCTTTATTAGTAATGGAGGCTTTCTTTTTTTCAGCTCAATCCCTTGCTTTGTTCTATAGTAAGGGGCCTTTTCAATAAGGCTCGCGTAGGGGCGCTCACGTTTTTTGGCTTACCTAAAATCTGATATTTAAAAGTTGGTAAAGACCCACCCCTTGTTTCAGTCAGAATGAGTCCCCGGGACCCCGGGACATTGGCTTCCGCCAACAGTGGACTATTATATATTATATATTAAATTAAGGATCGCATCCCGCGCATATTCTACATTATAGCCTGCAACTGATTCAGCTTCCGCTTCTGGGAGATCAAACGGAGCTCGATTAGTTTCTGCTAGACGAGAAATGAAGAACATAACCAATACAGGGAACAAGGGAATACCGGACCATATCTGCTTTTGCGCCATGACAATCTCACTCGAATTACGGGGACCTACACATATTAGTACAGTATACCGGGGTCCCCGGCCAGAACCACACGTGCAAGTTTCCCTGCATGTGGCTCGCCTTTCCTATAGGGCTTTCCGAGGCGCTGCCTGTGACTCAGCATGGGAGAAGGGGGCACTTTCGTGTTTAGAGCATTGTCCGAGTGAATAGGCAGCGCCTACCAAGCAAAGCTTTCTTGAAGAGGCTGGGCTGGTTCCTTTTCGGCGCCCGCATTTTCTTTAGATGTTGGGGCAAGGCAAGCCCCAGGAAAGTATAGGTTGGCTCCCAGCTCCATCTCGGCCGGCATCCTGCTCTTTTTTTAGGGGGTGGGGTCCTGGAGCTAACTACTCATTGCTTTCTTGCCCCAACCCAACCAAAGGCCGGGCCTTGGGTTGGTGAGGAGCATTGTTTTGAGGGAGAGGGAAAGCGTGGTTGACAAGCCACTTCGAGGAAGGAAGCGACTGGAGTGCTTTCATCAAATGATGCATATGGGCTGAGCCATTCCCATCCCAAGTGGTGGCCCGATTCGGCCTGGCCTGGTCGGGAAGAGATTCACATAGATACTTTTGCTATCCGGGAATCTCTTTCTATGTTAGCTAGCGGGGGCGGGCTTTCCTATGATAGTCCCGCTGCGGCCTCTGACCGTCCGTCACGTCTCATCTTGATTTGGCTATACTTATCTTTATGTAGCCAGCCATGTTAGCTTCACATGAGAGCCCTTTTTTTTAAGGCTAAAAAGGCACTCATCAGTCAGCTCGGCCCCTTTCCTATTCAGCTTTGCCGCCTATAAAATAATAAAAAAGGTCCCCTTCAAGCGGCCCGCCTTTATTCATCTATACCAGCTGCCACGCACGACCCAATCAATAGGAACGATTTCAGCGCCCCTCTCTTCCTAAGAAGCAGAACGCGCCATCACCTACAGCCCTTTCCTCTGCCGGGGACTTCCACGAAATTAAAACGGGCGGCATCGTCGTATGCTCGACATTCATTGGTTGCCCTGGTTTATATCCCGGAGTACTCCTATGGCCGATCTGTCACCCAACCTACTAAAAAACCTAAAGGCTTGACCCCGTCCCGTTTGGAGAATGACCCTTATGGCATGGCTTAGTCAGTTATTCTCGCAGTTCAGATAAGATTCGGACCGCCACTTTTCTGAAAGCATGGTTCTTGCCTTCCTCTTTCCTCCCTCCTTGGAGCTCGTCCATTCGTTAGGTGATCCCTTGCTCTCACGTTCGAGTGTTTGCTCGTCGTTTAGGCCGGTGAGTTATATTTCTGCTCATTGCAGTCACCTCCGGGGTTCTTCGCACCTGGATAGTACCAGGACCCTTGTGCCCCGGCCCTTGATCAGATAAATCCGCCCGCCCTATGACCAAAAACTAACAATGAGCCTTGCGACGAGACGCGGACATTCCCCATGCTGCGGTTCCCTCCGGTCCGTTCCCGGGTTGGGTTAGGGGAACATCCGAGCGATTGCCTTCGCGGATCCAAACGCGCTCACAAGGCGCACAATAAGAATAAGACCAATAGAGACTTCATAAGAGACCATTTGAGCTGCAGATCGTAATGCTCCTAGAAAGGCATATTTCGAATATAGAGGAGTGAAAGTTCCCAACAATCAACGAGTTGATCATACCCTTCTTTGAACCGTACGAGCACGTCCTCTTTAACCCCCCCCCGCGCTTACGGCTCTATACCCCAACCCAACTTGCTCTGGCCCCCGGTCCTCCCTTTATCTTCCTCGGTAAGCGGACCGCGGGAGCATGAGGGGGGGCGGTATCTGCTTTTGACTGATAGAAAGCATCTCTCTTTTGTCCCTCCTGACCGAACCCGAAAAGAATCACTTTATGCCACTTTGTACACTTGAGTGTAGGCACCTTCTTTAAACGTGCCAAGCTGTGGAAGAGAGGTGCCAGGGGAATCAATGCTCTCAGCTGAAACAGGGCTTGAAGCCTTCGAAAAACCTGTCTGCTCTTTTATTCCTATCGAGTGGCGTCAACCGGACTGAAAAATAGAATAGCTGATCGAGCTCTTTGGTACGCGGCTAACCTTTTAAATGGAGCTGTTCTTGCTACTCCCATAAACTTAAAAGGGTGGGTAGGATAAGGACTCTTATCATACAGCTCTTTTTCTTGCTCTTCTGGTGTCCTTTTATTCTCTCTTGGCCCGTTGCGCCTTTTTGACCAATGAGAGTCCAGACTGGAGCTCATCTGATTCATTCTTCCGTTTACTCATTCGTCAGTCTCGTCAAAAGCAGCTGAACTCAATCCCGATGGCTACCATTACAGTGTCGATTGGCATTCCGCTTCTATAAACTATATATAGACTACAGATGTGACCATGATTCTATCTTGGTGAGAGTGGCGTGACTTGAAGCTGCACGGAGACCATTTCCTTTTCTTGCTCTTTTTTGAGCTGGATGTCATCTCGGCATATCGGTCGGTCGGTTTAAGATGAATCCGGGGGAGGGATAAATCCTCCATTGGCCGTTGACCTTTGATTCTCTTCTCTGAACTGCTCTGCTCTTAGGCTAAGATTGAGTTGAATCCGCTTCTCTTCCGTATTCCTCAGCTCGACTTTCTGTTGCCGAAGCTGTCTTGAAGCCCTTTCTTTCCGGCTTCCTTGAGTCAGCTCGGTAGCTAGTCTAGTAAAATAGCCTTTCTTCTCTTCCCTTAACTTAAGAGGGGTTGCTCCTTCTTCTCGTCCACTCGGGAATGAAGCCTTACCTTTCGCTACTAACCTTTTAAATGGAGTTGAGCTGGCTACAAAATCAATTGCTTCAGTGATGGTTGCTTCATCAAATCAAATATAGGTGGCAGGGTCAGACTTTGAGAAAGAGTCCACTGCTGTCCAGTCATAGTCAGTAGGAGCAGCTCCGGCTCAGCTCGATCCAATTTTTTAATTGCACTCTGGCCTTGTAGTACCTCGCTATCCTCTGTTGGTAAGTAGCCATTCTGAACTGAGCTTGCTTTCTTAACTCTTAAATTAGGTCGAAGTTGGTCCTCAACTCTTCTTTTCTTCGTTGGAACCCACATTTTAAAAAGTTCTGTTAGGTTCTTAGTAGCAGTCGGCGACCTTTTATTCTTTTACTTCACATATCTTTTCGTCTCCTTGATAGCTGGAAGTTCTCCAAAAGTATGAAAAGCTGGAGGACTTTGTACCAGCCATTCCAGTGTGGTTGAATTTTCTTCAACAGCCCAAGGAATGTTCGCCCTTGTTATGTTATTTCCACTGCTTGAAGTGATTGTTACGACCACGAAGAAACGACGAATCCCAACTACGGATATATAAGAGCCAAAACTGCTAAGGGCATTCCATCCAGCGTAAGCATCTGGATAATCTGGAATGCGACGTGGCATACCCGAAAGCCCTAAGAAATGCATGGGAAAGAGGGTCAGATTAACCCCGAAAAAAGTGATCCAAAAATGGATTTGACCTAAAGTTTCAGGGTATGTCCGACCAAAGATTTTACCCACCCAATAGTGAAATCCTGCAAATAAAGCAAAAACGGCTCCCATAGAAAGTACATAATGGAAATGTGCAACCACATAATAAGTATCATGTAGAGCAATGTCTAGCCCAGAATTTGCCGGGACTATTCCAGTGAGTCCTCCTATGGTGAACAAAAAGATGAACCCTACAGCAAATAACATGGGTGTTTTGTATTGTATCGAACCCCCCCACATGGTAGCGATCCAACTAAAGATTTTTATTCCAGTGGGGACAGCTATGATCATGGTAGCTGCGGTGAAGTAGGCACGGGTATCAACGTCTAAGCCCACAGTAAACATATGATGAGCCCAAACAAGAAATCCAAGAACACCTATACTGATCATGGCATAAACCATGCCTAGATACCCGAAGACCGGTTTTCCCGAAAAAGTAGAAACGATATGACTTATGATACCGGATCCAGGCAGAATGGGAATATACACCTCTGGATGACCGAAGAACCGAAAGAGATGCTGGTATAAGATGGGGTCTCCCCCTCCTGCGGGATCAGAAAAGGTTGTATTAAAGTTTCGATCGGTTAATAACATTGTAATTGCCCCTGCCAGTACCGGAAGTGATAATAAAAGTGGGAATGCTGTTACTGGAACGGACCACACAAAGAGGGGTGATCTATGCATAGTCATTCCAGGTCCACGCATGTTGGAGATAGTTGTTATAAAATTGATAGAACCTAAAATGGATGAAACACCAGATAGATGAAGACTAGAAATTGCTGAATCAACTGCTCCTCCAGAATGGCTGGTAATAC